GCACCGATCGATCGGCAGAGAGTGAGTATCAGCCGATATCGATCGGCGGCCGATCAATCGGAGCATCCCTATATATATCAAATCACCATAGTCCAGCACAGGTAAAAAGGTCACAGAGACTAGCCTTTTCCTGGCCTCAAGTGAGAAACAGGACTTGTTTCTGAAAAAGAAACCTAGCTTCACCCTCAGCTTTCTAAGCAGATTATTGACCTGAAGTTTAAAAGAGAGACAATTATCAAGCCAGATACCAAGGTATTTATAACAGATAACCACTTCGAGTACTTTTCCTTGCGTAGTGACAATATCCAAAGTGGCTTTTTGGCTTTTGAAAATAGCATTACCTTAGTTTTATCAACATTTAAAAGAAGCTTAAGCTCAGAGAGCTGAGTCTGAATAATATTAAAAACAGCCTGTAATTCAACAACAGCCTCCTTAATGGAGGGACCTGCACAATACATCACGGTATCGTCCGCATAAAAATGTAAAGTTGCTTCATTCACATTTTGACCTAAACTGTTGATATAGATGGAGAATAATAGTGGACCTAAGACAGAACCTTGGGGAACACCATTAGTAATGTTTAACCACTCAGAAGTGAGCCCATCAAACTGAACACATTGGGACCTTTCAGAGAGGTAGTTCACAAACCACCCCACTGCATGGCTGGATATGCCAATACTGGCCAGCCTCTGCTTCAGGATTTGATGATCGACGGTATCGAAAGCTTTGGAAAGATCAATAAATAGAGCTGCACAACTCGGCTTTTTGTCTAAGATACCCGCAATATCATTCACCACTTTCCAGTGATGGTGCTATGTTGCTTTCTGAAACCTGACTGATGTTTACATAGGATGTCATTTTTACATAAAAACACTGTTCACTCACTAGACTTTCAAGAACCTTGGCCAGAACTGACAATTTAGAGATGGGCCTATAATTATTTAATAAAGTGGCCTCCCCACCTTTTAGTAGAGGAAGGACATATTTTCCATATTTTTGGAATTGTGTTCGTGCTGAGGGAGAGGTTAAAAAGAGAAGTAAGAGGTGGTGCAATAAAATCTGCAGCTATCTTTAAAAAGAAAGGTTCTACGTTGTCCAGACCAGCCGGTTTCTTAGGATCTAACTTGGTTAATGCTTCATGAACGACTTCAATAGTAAATGGAGAAAAACTGAAAGGGTTTTCCAAACCACGTTTTTCAGAGTCACAGACTGTGGTGTTCACAGAAGCAGAGTTAGTAACAGAATCAAACAGAGAGCCACAGGACACAAAATGCTCATTAAAACAATTTAACATAGTGGCCCTGTCCGATATAGTGCCAGATGCTGTGGTAAGGCACGGAGGTAGCTCATTACGGATTTCACCGGTGGATAACGATTTTATGGCTTTCCAACATTTTCTAGGATTATTCAGGTTCTTTGTGGTAACTGACAGATAATACTTAGACTTGATTTGTGATATGAACAGGGTGCGTACGGGTGCTGGAAATCCTTGAAAATGCTTGAAATTGTACGAGGTGTTTTCAAGGTTTGAAAAGTGCTTGAATTTTGGGAATGGTGCTTGAATTTGGGATAAAGTGCTTGAAATTGTAAATGCTTTACTTCGCTTTTTAGATTAAAAGAAAATAAAGAAGTCGGTGCGCGCTTAATTGCTTCGCTTTTACATAAAACAGCTCTGCCCCGGCCTTCCCGCGCAATGCGCGTGACCGGCAAGTGTTTTTGTTACGTGTGTGACCTGGGCATTCTGATGAGAGTGATAGATGACAGTATGCCAGGAGGTTGCCGTTTCAACGAGCGTTGGCTAGCAGAAGACAAATACAAGCCATGGCTAAGACGAGGGTCAAGCGAAGCCCAAGAGTAGCCTCCTGCAAAGTGTGCAACAATAACGATGCGAGAGTCTGCGCTGACGAGCCACACACCACACGAAAGGTACGCGGTAGTAGAGCATTTTAGATTAGGCTATCGTTGCATGTAAAATACATGACACTTTTCTCTGTGCGCGGCAAAACAAACTCGCCAAAATGGCTTCACTAGTCTGGCAGTATTTTAAGTGTCCGAAAATGACAATAAAATAGCGGTATGCAACGTGTGTGAAGCAGAAATCCTGCAGCTCCACCCGCTATGACGGACCGGTGAGCGAAGCAGAACACACATTAAGAGTTAGACCTAACACACTTAGCTATTTTATCTACCTCTGGAACAAGCTAAACTAGTTATAAATATATTTATTCTTCACTGTCGGGTCACTCATTACTGGATCAGTGAGCTGCAGGAGACGATACTGACGGGCTGTCAGGAGAGAGAGAGGGAGAGGGGGAGAGAGGAAAAGAGGAAAAGAGAGCGCTTCCGCTAATTTCTCCCGTGTTATTATCCCAAGTTAATGTAAACTTGAATAATGTACTTCATTTGAATGTAATAATTATGTTGGTTGGTTGGTTTGTGGAAGCGCCAGTGAATGAGCCCCATTAACTGAGTTTTAAACATCACTTTAAATGGAAAATCCCCATAGGCCCCGCCCACTCGATCGGATCGGCGATCGGTATCGGCCGATACTTTTTATATATATATATACGTTTTATATTGGCTCAGCCAGGTTATATGGGATGCCCAGTCTACGTACAGATGGGTTACTCATTTTGAAATATTAAACTTAGTTTTCTTTTCTAAACATTTTAATTTTTCATCCTCATGTATAATGCTATTATGAAACACACATTTGGTTGTTTATAGCATAAAGAACATCTGATTTAATGTGAGGTAGGGAAATAATCATTTGAGTATAAGTATGTGTATATAAATATGTAATTTACAACAGCTGTAAGATGCTTGAAAAGCTTGAAAATACACCTTGAAAATGCTTGAAAAGTGCTTGAATTTGACTTTGGAAAAGGTGTAAGAACCCTGTATGAAGCTATTGCTTAGCTGCCTAAATCGCAGCCATTCTACCTCTGAGCCTGATTTCCTAGCCTTTGCCAGGCCTTGTTTCTCTCATGAAGGAGACTAGACAATTCAGCAGAAAACCAAGGATTGTCTCGTCCCTTCACTCTAAATTTACGCAGGGGTGCATGTCTATCAATAATTTCCATAAAACCAAGATAAAAATAAGACCATGCAGTTTCAACATCATCACACTGATCGATTTTTCCCCAATCAAAACCAAACAGATCATGTACAAAACCCTGCTCCACAAAATGTTTTGTGTCTATTATAATGCGAGGTTTACCCTTTTGGACTTTTGTTGTCTCTAATTGTGGCTACAACACAGTGATCACTCAAATCATTAGCAAATACTCCCACAGATGAGTATTTATGGGGAACATTTGTTAAAATTAGATCAATTAAGGAGGAATTATTTGGGAACTTAATGTTCGGGCGAGTAGGACTGTCTACAATCTGAGTAACATTTAAAGAGATACAAAGGTTTTTAAAATCCTCTGATACTGCAGTTAACCAGTCCCAGTTAAAATCTCCAAGTAGCACTATTTCCTTGTAGGCAAGTTGAGATAAAAGATTTGCCAATGAAGACAAGGAGTCTTTGACTGCTGAGGGGGGTCTGTAACAGCCCACCACCATGACCTGTTGACCCTTTGCCACTTCAATATTCAAGGCAACAAATTTGAGTTGCTTACTGATTGATTTGGAAACCATCTTGGTTACACTAAACTTATTTTTCACATAAATGGCAACGCCACCACCTTTATTAGGTCGGTCGGTACGATATACATTGTAACCATTTAAGGAGATGTCAGAGGCCAAAATAGATTTTTTTTGCCACGTTTCTGATAAAACAATGACTTCAGCGTCAGTCGAGCTTGCCCAAATAAGGACAAAATCTAATTTAGATAAAAGACTCCGCACATTTAAGTGGATGAATCGATAGTTGCGTCTGTAACTACGGTTGTATGAGTCCCGGATGACCGCCAGAGGCGGTGCTTTAGCCCTGGATATGTCCATCGTACGCATGCGCCGTACGAGTACCAATAACAACAAAGTCACCTGTGACCCACGTGATACCGGCTATATCAGCCAGTGTCATCAGAGAATTCTGAAAGCACCGCCTCTGGCGGTCATCCGGGACTCATAGAACCGTAGTTACAGACGTAACTATCGTTCTATTTCGCCCCTACTGACCGCCAGAGGCGGTGCTTTAGCACTGGATGACTTATACCAACCATGTCATGAAGAAACCAAATACTCACCTAGCTGGAAGCAGCGGAGCTTGGCAACAGGACCACGCCCAAAGGATGGGGAGTGGCGACATTGACCCGGTAGAACCTGGAGAATGTGCCAGAAGACGCCCAAGACGCCGCGGCGCAGATGGTCTCCAGGGGCACTCCTCTCAGGGCGGCCCAAGACATTGAGACGCTCCTTGTAGAGTGGCATCTCACCCCTGATGGCCGGGGGCGGCCACTGGCCCCATAGGCATGTGCGATTGTATCAACAACCCAGTGGGACAGCCGCTGCTTGGATAGAGCACAACCCTTCCCTAATGCCGCCATGGCAAACGAAGAGCTGCTCTGACTGCCGTACACCGGCCGTAGCATCGACATACGCTCTTAGGGCACGCACAGGGCACAGCAACTCAGGCGTGCGGCTCTCCTGTGGGACGTTAAAGCGTGCCAGCTGGATGGGCCGATTGGAGTGGGCACGTGGAAGCACCTTGGGCAGGAACGCCACATTCGGCCAGAGGGCAACACCCGAGCCATCGGAGTTCTACCTCAGGCATGTATCGCTCACGGAGAGGGCATGCAACTCCCCAACTCGCTTCCCTGAGGTTATGGCAAGCAGAAATGCTGCCTTCAAGGACAGCCACTTAAGCCCCACCTGGGCCAGGGGCTCGAAGGGAGGAGATGATAGGGCATCTAGCACTAGGGGCAGGTCCCAAGCCGGAGCCCTCGGGGTACTAGGGGGACGCTGCCGTAAGGCCCCTCTCAGGAAGAGGGACACCGACCTGTGGCGCCCCACCGTGGCGCCGTCGACCCCGACATGTTGGGCAGAGATAGCAGCCGTATATATCTTCAAAGTGGAGTGAGAACGTCCACTATCCAGAAGGGACTGCAGGAACTCCAGAATGGTGGCCACAGAGCAATGCCCCGGATTCTCAGCCTTACCCAAACACCAGTGGGAGAAGAGCTTCCATTTGCACTCGTACTGTGCTCGAGTGGATGGTGCTCTGGCATTCAGGATAGTTTCCCTGACCGATGCCGAAAAAGCGCTCAACAGTGGGTTGGGCCCCGCAGAGGCCAAGCCCAGAGCTGAAGGCGGTGAGGGTCGGGATGCCAGATCTGACCCCTGAGCTGTGACAGAAGGTCCTTCCTGTCGGGGAGGCGCCATGGTGAGAGAGACTGCGCAGCAGCGGGAACCAAACTCTCCCCGGCCAGCGGGGGGCGACCAGAAGGAGCCTGTGCCCCTGAGTAAGGACCCTCTGAAGCATCTGTAATAACAGCGGGAAGGCGGGAAGGCGTACAGGAGACTGTCTGGCCAGTCGTGTGCCAGAGCGTCCTGCCCCATTGGGCTGGTCACCTCTGCCCAGGAGAACCAGAGGGGGCAGTGCCTCGACTCCTCCGAGGCAAAGAGGTCCACCTCGGCCCTGCCGAAAAGGCTCCAGATTGTCTCCACCACTTCTGGGTGAAGCCTCCACTCCCCTAGTGGAGGTTTGTGCCGAGAGAGGAAATCTGCCACCTGATTTTGGTCCCCTGGTAGAAAGACTGCCCGCAGGCTGGCCAAGCGGGGAGACGCCCAAGACAAGAGGCTCTGTGAAACCCGGAGCAGCTGTGCGGACCTGGTGCCCCCCTGGTGGTTGATCTGGGAGACCGCGGACATGTTGTCCGAATGAACAAGAACATGCCTGTCCGTCAGTTGGGGTAAAAAGTGCCTGAGCGCAAGCAGCACAGTGCGAAGCTCTAGCACGTTGATGTGATATGCACCTTCCTGGGCGGACCACAGACCCTGAACAGTCCTGCCCTGCCACACCGCACCCCACCCTGAGAGACATGCATCTACAGTGACAGTCTCCCGGAGGGATGGGATGGCGCCCATGGGCGCGCCCATCAGAAGATAGGCCCTGTTTCTCCAGCGTGACAGAGAGTGAAGGCACTGGTGCGACACCCTGACCTTCCTGTGCCTGTGCCACTTGGCGTCCAAGTGAAGGCTGTTCAGCCACATCTGCATAGGGCGCAGCGACAGCAGACCTAAGGGCACAACGGCTGAGGCAGCCGTCAGTCTGCCCAAGAGCCGGAGGAACTGAATGTAAGGCACATTCTTGCCCAGCCTGAAGATGGGGAGAAGGTGGGAAATGTCGTCCACACGACGAGGTGTCAGACAGGCCCTCATGGCGACCGAATCTAGGACCAACCCCAGGTAAGTGACCCGTTGGGAGGGGACCAGGCAGCTCTTCCCGGTGTTTACTGTCAGGCCCAACCGGGCTACGTGACATAAGAGGCGCGCCGGATCCTGGGCCACTTGGGACCGGGACGGCGCACAAACCAGCCAGTCGTCTAGGTACGGCAGGACCTTCATGCCCTGTGCCTGCAGGGGTGCGAGAGCTGCCGCCACGACCCTGGTAAACACCCTTGGAGAGAGGGAGAGACCGAAGGGAAGTACCCGGAACTGATAATGCTGGCCCTGAAAGGCAAACCTCAGGAACTTTCGGTGGTGGGACGCAATCGGCACGTGGAAGTAGGCGTCCCTCAAGTCCACGGTTGTGAACCACTCCCCCTGTGTGACAACACGGAGGGTGTCTGCTGTGGTCAGCATGTGGAAGGGCAGCACCTTCAGGAATCTGTTGATTCCTCTGAGGTCCAGTGCTGGACGAAATCCGCCGACTTTCTTGCTCACCAGAAAGTACGCCGAGTAGAACCCCCCGGACTGAAGCAGGGGGTCCACTGGCTCGATTGCGCCCTTGGCCAAGAGGACGGACAGCTCTTGGGCCAGAGCTAAGGCCTTCGCCGGGTCGCTGACAACTGTCATCTTGACCCGGCCGAAGGCTAGGGGCCGGCGTCGGAACTGCAATTCGTATCCCTGGGTTAGGGTGGAAACCACCCAAGGGTCGGTAGTACAGGCAGCCCAGTAGCTGAGCTGCTGCTGGGAAAAGCAGCCGACGACCGGCCCCGGGACTTCAGGACCCTTGGCCTGCTGGGAGTAGGCACAGGCCTACGTAGACCCGAGAGCTGCTGCCTGGTCTGTCTAGCTTGGGCAGGGCTAGGGGCAGCTGCTCCAAACAGCTCCCCTGGTTCGACCGGCACGCCGCGGAGGACACTCCTACATGTCTCCGTTAGTGGTGACTGAGCCAGCCAAACCTGGCGTTGAGTCTGCACCAGTAGGGACATAACTCGTCCCAATTCCCTAGTCATTAGGGCAAAGGCCTGCAGTGAAGCGTCACTGAGGCCCAGCAAAGAAGGCTCAGCCGAAGCCTGCTGCAGAGAGGCGGAGGCGGCCAGCATTAGATGGGAGAGAGAGTTCCCGATACGACCCATGCGTGCCGCTGCATCGTAGGCCTTACAGAGCAGTTCGTCAGTGACCCTGCACTGAGGCCGAGGGCACCTGGCATCAGGCCTTAGGGCCTCATCAGGAGCCAGAATCAGGGAGGCGATGGCAGGCTCGATGGGTGGTATGCGACCCAGCCCAACCCTCGCCGGATCCTGCATGGCAGCCAGGGTCCGGGCATCAGAGCTGAAGCGGGAGAGGGCCTTGGTGTCTCTCCAGCATGCATGGAGCTCCCTCAGGTACTCCTCCGAAGGAGGAACAGTGAGGGGGACAGGGGTAGGGCTACGCCTGAAGAAGGCGCTAGCCTGAGCCGCGTCGGCCTGCGGAACCGGAAGCTGCAAATGTGCCAGGGCCGCACGAATAATGGCCGCCATGGAGGCGTCCTCCACGCCCTGCAGAGAGCCCTGAGCAGAGGATTGGGAAGCCTCCCCGGGAGTGAGCGGGGCCTCGTCCTCCACCTCTTCATTGAAGAGGTTAGCCGAGGCCGCTAATGACATGGCATCCTCATGCAGAGGTGCGGCAACCGAAGCAGGGGCAGGCGGCAAGCCAGCAGCCCCTATACCGGCCCCTGGTTGAAGGGCTAAGAGGAGCGACTTCATCATGTCCATGTCGGCGGCTAACCGATCCACCTTAGAGGACAGCCTGTTCCTAGTCCTCCTGTTGGGGGGCAAACCCGTAGCCATCGCTCCCTCGGGTCGCCGGGAACGGCCAAACTGACCTGGGGGAAGATGCGACAAGGAGAGGTGTCCGTTGGCTGCTGCTAGACGCTCCACCTCTGCGACTCTGGCCGCTCTAAGGGCCCAAGGCATGCAGCTACAGTTCATGCAGGCGTCCTGCGTGAGACCCTCCCTCAAATGCTCGAGACAAAGGCAAGAGGGGCAGCGGTCATGGCCATCCTCGGGCTCGAGAGAAGCCATACAGGCGCTACATGGATGAGCCATCATGTAGGTAGCCGGATGCAGCGTAACCGGGAGCGGGGTGCAAGAACACAGCCTTCACCAGTTACCTGCTGAACGGAAGGAGTAGAGCCCTGCTCCTACTCGCCGAACACGAGAGGGGTGTAATGTCCTAGACCCGCGTTACTAACCCCTAGATTCCACCGGGTCCGTCTGCGGCGCGTTACGGACGCGTTACGGCTGCGCCGCGGTGCTCAAGGTGATCGCGGCCACTCTAGTCAATGGGTGCTATTCCACCACACGCGGCGCGTTACGGCTCAGACGCGTCCCAGAAGCGTCCCAGAAGCGGCTCGGCGCAGGGCTTTTCTAAAATTAGGATCGAATCCTATTTTTGTCGCGGCGCAGCCGTAACGTAAGGTCGGGCAGGCAGGAAGTGGAACGTTCAGAGCTATATAGACCTATATATATACACACACACAAACTAATTTTGCAGACCCTATCCCTCCGTAGTCTTTCAAGTAGGAGGAGAAATGCCAGCGTTCTCCTCCGGTTTACAGGCACTGTGTAAATTATAATAATTATGATGATGAATGCATTTTTTTTACCACTAAAATACAGCAACACATCTTTGATTCATGTCGTTTATAACTGGAATATTACAGTTATTATTAACTTTGTCTGTACAAAGTAGCCTGTCCAGGAAATATGCCCAAATCAACAAAAACTGCGAGCCGGCAGGCAAGACTCTCCGCTTCTGAAATGCTTCTGAAACGCGCCTGGTAGGGTATGACGCCGGAGGAGGCCGGACCAAAACCGCGGCGCAGCCGCAACGTGGCGCAGACGGACCCGGTGGAATCTAGAGGTTAGCAGAGGGAGCAGGGAGCGAGAGCACTGCCTTCACCTAGCTAAGTAAATGAAAGTGCAAATCTACTAGCAGAGGGAGCGGGGAGCGAGAGCACTGCCTTCACCTAGCTGAGTAAACGAAGCACGGAGCTACCAGCAGAGGGAGCGGGGAGCGAGAGCACTGCCTTCACCTAGCTGAGTAAACGAAAGCGCAAAGCTACTAGCAGAGGGAGCGGGGAGCGAGAGCACTGCCTTCACCTAGCTAAGTAAACGAAGCACAGAGCTACCAAATAAGGAAGCTTAACAGGGCAGCTAGCCAGCCGGCTGCTGCTCACAGTCAAGGAACACTCTCACCAGGAGCGGGGGTGAAAATACTGCCTTCACTGGTTGAGTAAAATAGCGAAACACAAGCTAAGGAAACTGGCTTCTAAAGAAAAAACAGCACGGGTAATCCGGTGCTTACCTCAAGCGTCAGCCAAAGTGGCTGACCAGGCAGGACACAGTTAGGCTGAGCCGCGCTACTGCTAACTAGCTAAACAAGAGGACACAACAAAAGCTGGAACTCAGGATGCTAATGATAGCTTGGCGCAACGCCGCGCTATCAGAAAAGTACAGAGAGCGCAACAAGGGCAACTCCTGGGAGAGGGGGCGGAAACGCTACCGTCACCAGAAAGTTCAAGCCAGGTAGCAACCAAGACAGAAATCAGGACAACTTAGCTGGGAGAGGGAGTGGAAACACTGCCGTCACCGACCAAGCAGACACCAACCTGTCCGTTGAAGTTTTCTGCGCAGCCGGCCACAGCTCCTGGAGGACGGGTAATCCTGCGGCTCCGACTGGATCAGTCGCGAAGCTGCACGCAGCCAGCTGGATGCAGAGAAATCCTTAAATCAAAACGTTCCAACTGAACGCTGTAGGCTACAATAGTGTAGCCACGGTACTCTCGCGCAGCGAGAAGATGAAAGGAACAGATCCTCTGATGACACTGGCTGATATAGCCGGTGTCACGTGGGTCACAGGTGACTTTGTTGTTATTGGTACTCGTACGGCGCATGCGCACGATGGACATATCCAGTGCTAAAGCACCGCCTCTGGCGGTCAGTAGGGACGAAATAGAACCCAACCCAGACCTAGATTTAAAATCAGCAGGAGTAGCGATCTGACTACTACTACTGGGCGGACCAGGGTTAGGTTGTACATTTCCAGATAGCAATAATAACAAGAAAACCAGGCATCTTTTCCTCTTAATCGACACACATAAATTGTCATCTACTTTAAGATCACCAGCAAAGTCTGCGAAAGTGTGATTAGAGCTAAAAAAACAGTCCTGAAGAACCATCATAGCAGGCAAACAAAACAGACAAACATATTTTGCCGAACTGATTGTCTGTGACAAGGCAACCGGTAATTGTTCGCGTAACACACCCTGCACTCTTTTGCAGGGGATGCCCACTGCGGCCGGCAGAACAGACCTGAATCCAGTAGACTTCTCAGGATGACTAGAGAACTTCTCACTGTCCAAAACAGTTAACAGGCACAGCAGAATCACAATTGGGGCCATTTCCCCAGACCAGCACAGCATTCGTGATGTTTTTGGGGCAAATCCTCCTCAGGCGAAAGCAAGCCCCAGCCGAGCGTGGAGGCGCTCCGGTCTCTACGCGATGTCCCCGGGGTAAAATCCTCCTCAGCACAGCAGCACACGACAGGTGGAGGCAGGCCTCCGCTACAGCAGAAACAGGACAGGTGGAAAGCAGGCCCCAGCCCGAACGTGGAGCGGCTCCGTCTCTCCGCGATGTCCCCGGGGTAAGATCTCCGCAGCACAGCAGCACACGACAGGTGGAGGCAGGCCTCCGCTACAGCAGAAACAGGACAGGTGGAAAGCAGGCCCCAGCCCGAAAAACGTGGAGCCGCTCCCTCTCTCTGCGACGTCTCCGGGGCAAAATCCTCCTCACCACAGCAGCACAGTACAGGTGGATGCAGGCCTCCGCTACAGCAGTACAATACAGGCAGAAGCAGGCCCCAGCCCGAACGCGGAGAACGTTCAGGCCACTCCGCAATGCCCTCGGTGCAAATTCTCCTTTCCACGCCGGCAGAAGAGAGGCAGCCCTGCCCCTCACTTTCCACGCTCCGTGAGGCCGATGAGTAAAAGCAACTGCCAGGTGAGACGCTCTGCTCGCCAGTGAGTGTCTAATCCCCTCTTTCCATGCACTTTGTATTCTATCACACTGCTTCTAAAGTTTGCATCTCATTGTGTCTGAAGACACAGACTTGATGTACCTGATTTTAACCAGTTAAACCCCAAAATGCAACATCTTGCAAGAAACAGCATCTGAGGGCTTCTTAACATTTAATAAACTATGAATGTGTCATATCCACTTAACGGGAAGAAACTCAGCTATCAGACAAAATTAACAATTTTTAGCAAAACAAAACATAAGGGTAATAACAAAGGCTCTGAATTAGCCCTGAGCGGAAAAATGCTAACGCACTTAGCACAGAACTCACGTTAAAATACCCTTATTACTTATCGGATCTGCACAAACAAGATATCAAGCTCAGATTCCACAGATTCCAGAAATATAAGTATAATCACTGAGCAACCAGAACTCGCGGCATGGGAAACAAAACCAGACATCACACCACGTAGCTTTAGGTAGCAAACACGGGACATTGTCTTACCTTTTGCTGTTTCTGATCAAAAGTTGTGTTCAATGGCATTAAAACGATAAAAACGCTGCTGAAGGTTTATCCATAGGTTAATCCAATGTGTCTGTGTCACTTTGAAATGATTACTGATAATCCATCTTGATATTTATGTCAATAACGGAGATTTCATATTAGCTGCTACGAGAGTGTACACTGTAAAAACTGTTGCTTTGGTAAAACTTAAAAAATATGTGTCAAGCAATTATAGGAGTTGGGTAAACTCACTAATGTGATTTTTTCTGCATATGAAAAGATGAGATGAGCCTACAATTAAAAGCCCAGATATTAAGTGTAACCAATGCAAATAACAATCTGCTAAGAACCACACGAGAATAAAGTAAATTATAAAACACAATTGAGTTGCCGGAACCTATATACGACAAACTCTTCCTGATTTCAATCCAACCCTTTAAATATTTGATAGCATTGAAACATTGCAGATTAAACAAATAAATTAAAAAAGGGAACGTTATGGACATGTTAATACATTTTATTAAAATGTGATTATTTCAAAACAGTTGTCATAAAAGAGTAACAAGTTTGTTTAAAAGCACAACACATTAACATACATGGAGACACATGGTTATTACTTGATGGTTATAACTGCATCTGGCTCTTGGGCAACGTATCACTTCATGCTGTGCATCACGAGCCTGGTGCACTTCGACCTCTGCTGTTCCCTGTAAATACAAATAAAACACTAAATTGAGTACAAATCAGGACACACCATGTGTTTTCCTCAAAACAAAAATCAAATCCGTCTTGAAAACATAACGAGCCAGTTTACATTAGCTGTTAACAGATGGTAACAGAGGTGCTATTCACATGCATTACAAGGGGTTTAAGCCATCAAAAAAAGGCTGGTTTGCAAGAAAATGAACCAAATAGTCATGATATTGATATAGTTCATAAAATGTCCAACTACTTCTTTTTAACCCCACCTCATGCTCAGAGATGTATATAAAGTGGCACATGGGTCCTAGAATAAAAAGAACAGACGATTATTTCAACTTTTATCTTGATAAGTGAGAGCGCAGGCCAGTCTACATGAATGCAGGGCAAGGCACGTTTCTGTCCAAAGGTTCCATGATGGAGTCGATAATGTTTTATCACTTTGAGTGGTGACACTAGTGCTGCATAGTTTACATCTCCATCCCATCTGTGATTCAAAAAATAGAAATGGGTACGTTTACCTGATGCTCATTATATTAGTATGTAAACATAACACGTCTTGAATTAACCTCTGAAACAACAACTCTGACACACTCAAGGGCTTACCTAATGTGAACCTGAAGTCCATAGCAGGAGGCAAAATGTCTTCAAGAGGAGGTGTGTTTTCTGGTGAGGCAAATGAAAGAACAAAATAGTTACATGATGACAATGTAACAATCATTTCAGTAGAATTCATTAAAACATATTTAATTCAATTAATGGAATCAAACATTAAAACACAATTATCATTTAAAACGGTATTGTATTTATATACATTTATAAGGAT